GGGGGGGGGGGCAGTCGACCAAAAACTTCGATTTTTTTTCTAGTTACTCATATCATTCTATCATTTGTGTATGAATTATGTGTGATATACTAAAGATACTTGATAATACGGGCATCAAAAAAAGTTGTATATTCCTTTCCTCTTTTCTCAGGCTACAAGGGAAACTTGTCAGAAAGATCCATGGCTCTTATAGTGTCTATGATTCTTGCTATCCCCACTTTGTTTATAGAGCTCTTCATCCTCCTCTGGCAGACATATGTGTGAGTTTTTAAAAAAATAGTTTTTATAACAAACTTAATCTTTATGGAAATATATTTTTGATTCGGATATATCGATTTTTTTTAAACTAGGTTAAGATTGGAAGTGATTCTGGTGGCCATCCAGCTGGTTTTACTTGCTCTGGAAGTTATTTTAAGCATTGCTACGATGTTTACTTTCCAAAAGTAAGTGTCCAGTGCATACAACCTTTGTACTTTTTTATTTTATTTTTTTTTATAAACCAGAATCATAACTTTTCCTTCATGTGCAGAAAGTTTTGGTATTTAAGGTGCACAATTGCGTTGCAAGCTGAAGACCTGTATCAAAACACATCGCACAACAAATTTTCTGTTAATAAAATATCGCAATTTCACGTGTTTTTTTTCTTTTCCCAGATATAGTTCAATGCAAAGGTAAAGCAAGGCAAACACTGGACTCAAGTTTGAAACCATCAAGAAAAAGTTCACACCAAATGCGCTTGATAGTTGGTTTTTACCGCGTTTTGTCTCAGAGAAACCTAAAAGTTATGAAGTAATAGTTATGACGTAATAGTTGCGCGTAATAGTTGCGCGTAATAGTTGCGCGTAATAGTTGCGCGCGCGCGTTTTATTTGTTCACATGCATGACGTAATAATAACCAAAGCAGTATGTATGAGGTTCTAGTACAGACTGAGAATTTTGATCGACGCCTATAAAAAATGGCTCCAATTTTCCCAGTTATTGACACTGAAAGGTACAGTTCCCTACCTGCTGCTATTACTATTTACTCGGACATAGATTTCTTCAAGAAAGAAAAACAACGTCAAAAGAAAAAGAAGAAAAGCAAGCGAGATCGTTCATTCTCTTCTCCTTTGCAAGACAGTCAGAAACTGTTAAGGAAGAAAGAATATTCGTCAGAATTGAAAATGAGACGCGATATAGCCATAAATAGACGAAAACGTTCAGAACGAGAACAGACGAACTTCCTTGAACTGAAAGCGAACCGTGCCAATGAAAAGGAACGACTGAGACAACTCTTTTCAATTTACGCAGTACAACATGGGAAGTCGTACAGAAAACCAACCACAATCTCTCGACCACAGTTTCCTAACTTACTAAAGCCAAACAGTCGCGTAGAAAAGAAGAAAATGTGTAGTTCCTCTAAAGAAGTTGTTTTACCTCACATTGGATCCAACTCGGGAAAAGCTGGACATATTGAAGATAGAAAATAGATTTAAAAAGTTGTTATAACTACACTCTTGTTTGATGGTGCTTGCAGCTTGTAAGGTTTTAATGATGTTACTGTATCATAGAAATAAAAGAATATTTATTAATTTATGAGCAAATAGTGTTTGTCAAAATGCGGCAACAACAACTGCTCGTTTGCATTGGCACTCTTTCAGTTCCAAATTGTGTTATTTTTAAAAGGAGACCGGATATTTTGTTATTTTCTTTGATTTTTAGTTTGTTCTTGCCAATTGCGATGATCTTGCCCTTTCTAATTGATCCATGAGCTATTTCAAGTTTATTTGCTAATAGAATTACTGATTTATTATTATTTTTAATTTGTTTAAATAAAAATAACCGAAGACACTATTGAAGTCCTCCTTGTCCTTTACGGATTAATCAGTGTTCATTTTCTAGGAAGACTGGTTTGTTTACTGTAATCATTTTTTTCTTCTTATTGTTTAAATAAAAATAACCGAAGACCATACTCCCAGACCCGAATGCTGAAACGTCGTATGGCAGCGCGAAGCATTTACGGCTATGCCAGAGATTTCGACCCCAACACCGCTATCCCCGGGAGGAATTACAGCCTGATCAGGAAGCTCAGCAAAAGCCTAAGGGAGAGGTTAGTCGGCCCCTAGACCGTAGATAATTAACCCCTTTTTGTTTTAGCTTCGCACCAGTGTCCCAAGATGTGCAAAAGGGACAGCATGGTGGTCTTTAGCAAGGGGGGGTCCTACATGGACGCCAGAGACACGCCGGGGTAATGAGCCCCGCCCCCCATGTAGACCTACACACTACAGATTACTACAATAAACACTAATACAAAAAGATAAT